AGTGTGACAGTCACACACTGGCTCTCTGAACATCAGTTGTTCACTGTTTGATTTCTTTACTATCTATTTGTGAGACAGAAGGAAGCAAAAGTCTGAGCAAAATAAAAACGTATCGCTTTATTTCGTCATTTTCACGTCACCTGTATTCACTAAAAAAATACATCCAGGTTTTGAAAAACTCAAGTTGGACCAGATAATTTACGTTGTGTCAGCGTAACTTTGAAAAAACTGTGCATCATATAATATTAAAAAGGCTCTCCTTACATATATATTAAATATTTAGGATTGACAATGCTAAAGAGAAGCCTCCACGATGAGATAGTGTCACCTTATTCTTCCCAAGCTGTCATTTTTGCGTTATTCGAATTCACGCAAGAAAATGTATGCGAAGAGATTAATAGACTGAAGGGTGTGACTGAAAAGTGTGCCCTTCAGTTGTATTCACTAATTTCGTTCATCCCTCACACCAGAATCTCAAAACGTTGCTTGCATTCAGAGGACATGTGCGTGAAAGGATGCAGAATAGCTGCCTAAGGATGCCTAAGAATCCGTGAGAAGAGGTGAAAGAAGGATGGAGACTGGCCTATAGATAGCATTTACCGGAAGTAGGTAAATGGTGATTTCTAAATTGACAGATTTCCAATTAGTGTGTGCCAAAGTCATCAATGGACACAAGAGCTATACCGATTCGCATTTACTAATCACATGATAAGACTCTTAACTTGTATGCACTGGCTATTAAAGCCGTAGTCTCTGAGACGACCATGTTTGAAAATAGTGCTGGAAACGTTGGGCAGTCACTACCAGTGCATGACCAAAATACCTTCAACTGATGAAAGTGTAACAGCATTTAGACACCTTCTGAACATTAATTATTCCGGCAGGGGTTTAATTTTCGACTTTTACTCCAAGGTAAAATTAGATTATAGCATTCACAGTAGGCACTGTTGAATGCAGTTATCAGCTTTGCAATAAGAAGAACATGAGTTTAACTACAAGAGATGAACTCGTGCCTCAATTCCATGTTATACCACATAATGCATTAATAGGAAGTGATGATTCTTTGGTGCCATGCAAGCTCTAACCACTGTTAATTTTAGACAGCTATGAAGCTATATGATATAAAGGTGAATATATAATGCAGGCACTAGCAGAAAGAGTTTAGTTGACTGACTGACAGACTTGCCATACGATGGATTTTCATGAGACTTCTGCGCTCCCAAATGATGGATGGGAAATACCGGGACTCTTGAGAGTAGAAATTAGTACAGATTGGTTACTATGGTAAGGGTTGAAACCATGCCTAGCTGCAAGCTCATGTCTAGGATGTATGCATGTGATGATTGGTCACTTTGAGGTAGGCAAGATAGACTGGCCAGGTTTGCCTAACTGCTAGGCTTATTATTCATGCGACTGAAGTGGACGTAATGTCTGAAACCCCACGACGTAAAACCAGTGCCAACATAATTCAAACTTAAGGACCCGAAGCACTTTGTTCCATTCAAAAAGCAGGGAATACAAAGAAGTATGGCCATGTACTGTGGAAACTCTACTTTTATATTCCTTATTTACTGGGATAATACTTCATGCATTTGGTCTACAACACATAACTCCTCGTGTCAAACTACAAGTAAAGGGATTTTAAGCGAGATTGTATTGATTCCTGGTGAACGAGCCCACTCTGTAACTTGCGTGAATGCAATCACAACATTATTTTGTAAATTCACCAAACACACCTAACTTATACGCAAGCCATGTTACAGTATAGAAATTTCCCACTGCCGAATTTTGCGCTCCCAATCCTGCTATTCAACTATATCTATCACACTTTCAACTCTTTGCCGTACATGTTTTGCTTGTCCCTGGCTTAGAAAGGTGTATATACATGACAGGACAAATCTCAACTTATGTATTCACCTAGAGAACCATGACAACTGGACTACGCTTCACAGTTTACATCGGATATTCGCCATATACCCGGAGTGAACAGCACTGTGGCAGATGCCTTGTCACGCATTTGTTCAATAACCCAAAAAGACAGCTTAGACCTTGTGAAACTGGCTCGTCTTCAGAAGAAGACACCGGGCTTCAACGTGAGCTGTCGAACACAACTCTGCAATTGGCCGAAAAACCCTTAAGTATGGGAAGAGATACTATTCCATGTGACATTTCCGCGAGTACTCCTCACCCCATAGTCCCTAAAAGCTATCACCGTAACGTCTTCAATATGTTGCATGGCTTATCCCACCCAAGTATTCGAAATACCGTCAAGCTCGTAACTAGTCGCTTTTGTTGGCCTGGTAATAATTAAGGAGTAAGGGAATGGGCACACACGTGCTTAGCTTGTCAAAATTGCAAGGTAGTAAGATACAGCAAAAGCCTTCTTGGCACCTTTCTTATCCCTGATACTCGTTTCGAACACGTTCATATAGATTTGGTTGGACTCCTTCCAGAATCTCATGGATATACCTATATCTTAACCTGCATCGACCGTTTCACACGATGACCTGAAGCAGTACCCCTCAAGGATGTATCTGCTGAAACAGTCTCACGCGTCTTTGTCGAACGATGGATCGCAAACTTTGGATGCCCATCCTCCATACCAATTGATCGCGGGAAGCAATTCGAAAGCAGCTTATTCTTCGCATTGACTAAAATCACTGATTGTATGCGTTTTAGAATAACAGCCTACCATCCTCAAGTTAATGGTGTGGCATAACGTCTACACAGACAGATAAAAGCTGAGTTATCAGCTGCAAATAATGCACACTGGATTGAATTACTACTGTTGGTTTCCCTAGGGATACGAAACACCTTGAAAACTGACGCTGGCTGTACTACTGCCGAGCTAGTATATGGCACGACACTACGACTGCCAGGTGAGATTGTTTCTCCCTCTAGCTTCCCACCAGTGGTAGATCACGCCTCATACGTCAGCAGCCTTACAAACGCAATACGTTCAGTTAAACCCGCTCCCCTTCGACCACAGTCCACAGACGTCTTTGTTCACCCGTGTTTGAAAACTTTTTCACATGCATTTGTTCGTCGTGACTCTGTGCGTCGTCCTCTGGAACACCCATACGATGGACCATATGAAGTCATTAAACGTATAGATAAATTCTTTGTCTTAGACTAAAATGGCCGTGAAGACACTGTCAGCATCGACCGTCTGAAACCGGCCTACTTAGAAGGCAATCCTATTAGCCTCGACATGAGCACTCCTAATAATACTCAGGTAATGGAATATCCGTTAGTCCTCGCAGAAATCACTAGCATGGCAAAAGCCAGTGAACCTTTTGTTGAGCCCTCAAAGAAAACGCGTTCTGGACGGAACGTAAGATTCCCAGAACATATCCACGCTTATATCACGTAACTAAGTTATGCGTTTCATCCAATTCTAATTCGCTTTTTTTCTTTCAGACACATCTTTTCTTTATATTGCATCCCGCAACACAAGTAATAGCTTTTCTTAGACCGTACATGTTGCATCCACTAAAAATATTAGATAAATACTTTTTAACGATGTCCTATTTTTTCGCATTATTTCACTGTATGGTAGATGCATATTATTTTTCAAACGTTATTTTTTGGTAAATTTCCCTCAACAAGGTTGTTAGCATGCTTGTTTTCTTTTCCAGGGGCAACGGGCACTGGACTAGAAGCAAATGAAGCATGGACAAACATCAACGAAGCGATGGACAGACACCCTATCAGCATAGGTAGACGCCCAGTAGGCACTCAACCAAGCCGCTCGGAAGCGTTTTTTACCTATGGGAAAACCATTGGGTTTTTTACTGCTGGCTAGTTTTGTCTTAGGGACCCCAAAACCCCATTTGGGAAAGAGTGAGCTGTAGCGTTAAATAATTCTCCAAAATTATTGGCCACACCATTCACCACTGAACATTAGATGCAGACCCCCACTGTTTAAGTTAACTTGTTTAGCTGAAGACTTACGGTCAAGCATCTACGCCATTTGATTCGCCATCGTGTCACGTTCGCTCGTTCGTGCACGATCTCTAGCTAGCTAAGCAATTATCTTACACTCCGATTTGGTCCCGAAATATATCTCGTAATCTGGACGATCAAATATTTTCTTTTTCTTTGCCTTTGGTCTGTGCGGAATGAATACCATAAAGGTGTAGGTATTAGGTCTTGCTTGAGTATACTTCGGACTATCCGTGAACGTCAATACCGTCAACCTCTAAACTGCCATCCAGTGCCCCATAAGTGCCACCTTCTCTCGTGCAGTCTTATGATCCTAAGGTCATACGCCTGTGATTTTTGAGGATTATCAAACGCGTCTATTCCTCAGCATTCATGGTGATATAGTCAACAGTCAGGCTCCAGTTTTTCTCGGTTTAAACTGAAGATAAGAGATTTTGTAGAATTATTAAACAGTTTAGCATTGAACTTTGGATTTAATTTGGAGGGTCCTGGAAGGTATCATGACCTACACTATGATTATGCCACCAATTTTCATGCGACTACTATTCTACAACTATTTCCCTCCGCGGCTTTAACAAGAACGTAACAAAAGCGAACAAATGGCTGTTGTGCTGAAAATGACTATCTACAAGAATTCACAAGTGTGCACATGGTCTAATCCTTTTATTTGCACTCGAAATATGGCACAGCATTTGCAAAAGTAGCTGGTGACAGAAGGAATACGCGTTCTTCCCTTTTACAAGGTTTCGGAAGGTGAATTTGTACTTTCTTAAATCATACCTCTTAGAAGCTGCTCTACATCTACCGGGATCTGGAAGTTAAAAGGAAGACCCTGAATCATGAGACATTAGACTATAATCCCAAAGGCTTCACATTCACTCTAGCAGCAAACAAGAGGTTCATTAACCAATCTAATAAGTACAGATGTATCTGCGATCAGGCGTATGACTATGGTTAGTCTTGTCCTGTATATCTTCGTTTATGAAAAGATTTCAACTTCACATACAATCGCAAAACACGTAAACTGTTTCCAATTCATTTTGTTCGAACCAAGTAGTCTGTTTCAGCGCTGGATTTATAGGGACCTCAAGGTCAACATTATTTCGTACAAGTTATCGCCCACTAACACAAGTAAGCTTTTGTGCTCACTTGCATCTAAAATTAGCACTTCACGTCTTTATCTTTCTATTTTTACTTGAGTTTTACCTTGAATAATTGAAAATATAGTTGTTTCTGGATAATCCAACGATACATAATCCATAGATATGACATTTCTATGGACATAATCCATAGAAATATGTATATTTTAGCTTAATATCAGGAAAAAACAAGTTGGTTATACGTTCTATTACGGTGGAAATTCTTTTCATCCTGGAAAAATAGGTTTTGTAGATGGCAACTGCAGTTGTTATCTGAATAAAAAATACGGGGCTGAGAGGTATTTTTGGTTAGGAATAAAATGTGTCACTAGCATTAAGAAGTGAAACTTTCTGCTTCTTGGATTGAATGTGTTTGACTTTGTCAGAGATCCAGATAATAATAAGCAACTATGGGTAAATATTAATATTTATTTCTATGATACGAACGCATTTCCTAAGACTGCAGATCTATTAACAAAATTTTAAGCGATCCATGCATTTTACCATTGAATCATGTGTAAGCATAAAACGCTGTCAAAGTACTTTGGCAAGTAAATCTGATACAGTGGAGCTATTGAGAAATATTTCCCTTTCTTGCGCCTTAATTTGAAACCGCCTTTACGGACAGAGATTATGATTTGTTCTTCTTTCGTCTTACTGTTGTGTGTTATCTATTTTGACTCACATCTTAACGATATCAACCAGATATTTAGCATCTGATTACGTGACTCAAACCAACAGTCAGAGACTTTATGAATTGACTCCATAATTTGATTTGACCACTACTAACTCTTTCCCACACCGCTCTTATGTAAGCTAACACTGCTCATAGAGGAATGCATTGGCTTGACATAAGTAACAAGTATCCTAGAGTCCATCCTAAACTATCTATGTTTGCCATCTCTTAGACTAACGTTCTCTCTAAAGATGATACTCCTCGCCTAGTGCAAATATTACTGAGTGTATAATACCAGCTAACACAAGAAATAGAACGCAAATACATATGGTTAAAAACGACTAGCCTTTTCATATATTCAGCTTTCAAAGACCGTGTTTCACACCAGTAAATAAGGAAATAGCAAATTGTTGCACAGTGTGTTCCAGTAGTTCTAAAACATGATTTTATTATTAGCACTGCAAAGTCGCCTTAGTGGCATTCAAGTGAATTGTGATGGTACTTATTTTATGATGAATAACTATTCTAAGTACTACAGTGGGAATCAAAAACATGGTTGGTGATAATCACTAACACCCAAGAAGACAATTAATATGATGTTTCGAAATATCTCCCAACATGATTTCGCCCACTGCTTTTTTCACTTTGTGAGCAGACGCCTAGCGGAAACTAAAGCAGAAAACTTTCGAAAAATGATTTAGTCTTCCATAAAAACAGACAACCGAAATATTAGGTGCTACACCTCCATACTTACAAAACTCTGGTATGAATTAACTGTCTGGTGATGCAGCAAACTAGAATGTTTAAATTTGACTGTGGCTAAGAGGCTTAAAGTCTTCAGGTATTTCTCCTCTATCAGGGTTAAAGCAAAGGTCTGGTTTGCAAAGAATAGTTGAAGCACCTTGTTAATGCTGTCATTAAAGTTGGCATTTCTGTAGTTCCATTGTAATGTATTCCAAAAATGTGTTGAGGAATTTAGTAATTTAAGTCAAACTTTATTTATACTAGAGGGTTTGCGTACCAGAGGGTTGTAAACTCTCGGGATAGCTGCTAAAGAAATTGAAAGAAATAATCCATTTGGGCACATTTGACTTAAAACATGATTGTATAAATACTAATATGATTTCTTTTAGAAACGATCAATAGTCACCTCAAATGACCACGGAAACGACGCCAGAACCGTAAGTATTTGCTTTATCGGTCAACTATTATCGTGTCAAATGAAGTTAAGAGTCAAGACGTGTGTCTAATTACTCCTTATGATTTCCATGTGGACAATAATTTTGATCTCTTTTCATTGTAAACACGTTTTATGCCAAACATTTTATGGCTAATGTGAATTTTTTATGTTTGGAACTTCATAAACTGATTGATTAATCACACGACTCGTTGAAGACTCAAGTGACTTCCACCTTCTGAAATAAAGTTTCCATCACCTAAGATGAATAGCTCTCAAATTTTCGGATTATAGATACACACGATACGACACTGATTATTATTTTTGGTTAGCAAATAAAGCAGCGTAATAGTAATTTGTTTATAATGAAGATTTTTCAGTAGCTTTTAAAGGAAATATGCATAAGTGGCAATTAGCCTATTTGAACACATTTACTTTTGTAAGTGTTCACCTTGTAATAAAATATATAATAGAGCTTTGACATTAAACTGCCCATCAGGTAAAGAGGATATGCAGAAACTTTCGTTATCTTAATTGGATGAGTGATATCAAATAAAAATGAACTGCTCGAAATGCATTGATTATCGGTCCACCTGAGGCATTCTTCTTCTACGTGAAGACAGAAGCGTGAATAGTGTGAAGTGTGTTAGACAAGAAGCAATAGGCAGAGTAAGTCAACTGGTAAAAGTTTAGCGTTTCACTGATGGAAACTGCTAAAAGATTTGTTAAATATATGTTGGTGTACCAGTGTTTATCCTGGAGAGTAGAGCTGCATAAGAGGCAGCTCATGACTCGACGTTACTGACTATCTACCTAGGTCATACAACATAATGAAGCTAGTAAATTTTAAAAATTAGTGAGCAGAAGTAATCAATAATGTAATGTTAGTAACCAGCCACTTTAAGTATTTTCGTTCTTTACCTAAACTGAAAGTTACCGTCTACATATGCCCAGTTAAACTTGAGCAAGCCAAGCACCGTTTCAGCTACAGGCGGAACGGATGAAGATGTCAAAGTCAGAATCGGAAAGGCAAGATACACCTTCATCAACCGAAAACCAGTTCTGAAATCTTCTGCACTCAGCTAACATAAAGAACGAGATTTGGATTCTGTTCAATACAAATGTGAAGATAGTTAGTTCGTCTACACGGGTCAGAAACTTGTACTGCGTGTCATCAAAAGGATTTCCAACAGGCCACTGGAGACTTTTATCAACAGCTGTAACCTTCTCTGGCTGGCTCTGTACTGAAGATCAAATGGCCGGTCGACCGGCCAGAAAGAATTGGTGACAAGAAACTGTGGCTGGCAACAAACCAGTCAAGAGCCTACTTCTCAACAAATATGTAGGAGAAAATGGAGATGGATAGGGCTTGCGTTGAGGAGGCCGTCGAATGACATCGCGCTCAATGCAGGCCATCGCTAGAGTGGAATCCCAACTGGTAGGTGGCATGCAGGAGGTCATTTGGTGAGGAGGAGGAGATGTGAGCTTCTGGGCAATCGTGGACCCAGATGAAGAGGAAGGTAGAAAACTGAACAAAGTGGAGATGTGTTGTTGAAGCCCTATGTTTCGGTCGGAGCCCAACTGATTAATAATAATAAACCAAGCACTATATTTCACTCTGATATTTTAACTGAGTATTGTGACAGCAAATTCCTCTTCTAAAGTCTAAGGAATGATTTAGTGTCAACTAACTGGTAATCGCAAGCGTATCAGTACTGATGTCGTTGTGTTCTCTGATTTGGATGGTTTCTTTGCGAGGTGTTCAGTTGGTGATTCAATAAATTGAGCATATGACTCAGGTTCTTCTAGAATACCCTGATAAATAAGTTGTATATGGAATTTCTTGGAAATTAACTCATTGCTTATCGATAGATATCTGATCTTTTAAAATATCATTTCATTGTGAATGACATAACTGTCTGTATTTGGATTGGACACTAGTAAGTAGTGTGACGTGTCTAGTCCTTTCTTTGGTGCAGACTGAATTCTATCAGTCAGGTTTGCGATGTGGCCACCATTCTAGGTAGCTCGCCATCACGGTGTACATTGATTTGATGATATTAGATAGTTGGAGGCAATCGGCAGGAAGCCTTGGACCTAGGTTTAGTGCTAGTTGGCACGGGTTCGAATCTCAGAAGGGACATGAGTTCCCTCAAGGTTGCAGATACGCCTTGCTAATGAGTGCCAACTAGCACGAAACCTAGGTCCAAGGCTTCCTGCCGATTGCCTCCAACTATCTAATATCAACAACTGTCTGTCTTGATGACCATAGACTCTGGATCATTTCTAAATACTACTGTTTCTGTATTACTTCATGCATTACTAATCAATTAATTATTTGTTTGTTCATACTATTTTTATGGTCTTCATTCATTTTAGTCCCCATGACAACGAAGATCATGAACTGAGTGAATTTTTCACAAAATTATATCATGCAGACGAAAATGCAGCTGTCAGCGGTAAAGACTACTTAGTGAACCCACAAGGTATTTCATTTGTAATCAAAAAAAGAATTTTTTTATTTATCATTATTGTTATGAATCCCTAACATTTTTATTGATCAACATATAAATTTTGTCCTCAAAAAGTACATACTGATAAGTAATTAAGCATAAATTAACAAACAGCTTAAAGTGCTAAATGATTAGTGTAGCAAGCAACATTTAATTGTACACACTCACTCACACACAGAAAACTGCGCTTGATTATCTCCCATTCTGTCATTTTTTAAAATATTTTTTTATTCTTTTACGTTCCCACTGGAACACAGGGCTTCAAGCTAGAGGTTCGAAGTTTCAGTAGCAGGGGACATTTGTATTGGTAGACACAAAAAGCGATGGCTAGTCTAGATACATCATCTTTCAGTTGAGGAATTATTTTCCCCAGCTTGTTGGTTATCATTTCACTTGGTACACCGTCTGTGAACTGTAGTCCCATACATAGAGTTTTGCTGTTTACAGACACAGAACATTACTTCTTGACTTTCTTGACCACATATCATGTCACATACAATCTTAAATTCATTTTCATTTGTATCTTCCGAACATATAGCTCTGACCAGACAGCTGAATATTCTTTGTTCACTAATGCATATTTTAAACTGTTTAATGGGCATCGCTAACCATTTTTAGAATAGTTGTTAAGATACATCAAACAGCTTTAAATAAACAGATATCTGCTGACGATGATACATTCTGAGTTCCCCGAATCCAGGTGTAAGTATGATTCCTGAAATTTAGAACTACTGGTAAGGAATGCAGAGATATAAACACACATGAAATGATTGGCTAACAGTTGGTTATCGTATGCACGCACTAGTTTACACTGCTGTGTGATAGGCATTAATAGGCAGTAAGTGTGTTTCTAGTACTTGATGAGTGTCATGAATAAAACTGATATGTATATATGTGAGACGATGAAAGATAACACAAATGACCCATTTTCATGCGTACATATACTGAAATGCTCCTTTTGAAACTACATTACAACTTTCGATTTACATGCATTCAATATATATTTCTCTATCTGTCATGTGTCTAAATTAGTTCTATTAGCATTTTTCTTATATTTGTATTATTATTATTGTTCCCTTGGGTTCCTAGTGGAACATAGGGCTTCAACTGCACGTCTCCACTTGTTTCTGTCTTCTGCTGTACTTTTCACTTGCATCCATGTTAGTCCATACTGTTTCAACTCCTCTTCACACGATCTCCTCCATGTCACCCTTGGACGTCCCACTCACCGATTCCCTTTCGGGTTCCACTCGAGCACTAGTCTGACGCGCGATGTCACCCAGCGGCCTCCTCAGCCAGTGTCCAATCCATCTCCACTTTCTCCTGCATATTTGTTGGGTGATTGGTTCTTGTTTTGTTTGTTCCCATAGTCTCTTGTTGGTGATTCTTTCCGGCGGCCATCTGATCTTCAGTATAGAACGAAGACAGCTGTTGATAAAGGTCTGCAACAGGCTGTTGGAAATATTCTTTGTGACCCGCCGCCAAGTTTCTGATCCGTATAGAAGAACTGACATGATGTTTGTACTGAAAATCCGAATTTGGTTGTTGATGCTGAGTGACGAAGATTTCCAGATTGGTTTCAGGTTGATGATGAATGTGTTTCTCGCCTTCCCGATTCTCGCTCGATTTGACTTCCTCTTCCGTTCCTCCTGTGGTTGAGACAATGCTCCCTAGATAAGTGAATGAAGTAACCTCTTTCAAATCCCTCTCGTTGATGGTGATTGGCGCTGAATGCTGCTGGTGTTGTTGTTGTTGGTTGGTTATTTTCATAACCTCCGTCTTGTCTATGTTCACCTGCAGTCCTGTCTTTGCTTCTTCTTCGACCAGTTTGTCGGTTTTCGCTTGTAAGTCTTCGATTTTGTGTGACATAAAACATAAATCATCCACGCGCGAAATCCAGGTCTTCTAGGTTCTTCACGTCTGTCCAGGATATCCCTGTCTCCTCGTTTCCCACTGTCTGACGCATAACCCAGTATTATTAAACCGGAATTTACAAAATTCACTTAGCTTATATATAACAAAGAGTTAAGGGGTGAGAAAATAGACTTAGGTCAAGTTAAAGGGACATATTGAAAGTCAAAATAGCAATGAAGATCATTAAACCAAATAACAAAGGTAATAGTACATCTGTTATGATATCAAAACAAAGTTTACTAACTTGATCATCGTTCGTCAGTCTGAGGTCATTTTTCGTTGTCGAATTGGACAACTGCTAAAGATAACAAAACCAAGTGTAGATTGCTGGATTTGATCAGTGTGTAAAATTATAGAAGCAGCATGTGTTTACATAGTGAACTTGCATATCACATTCGTGGTGATTTCGTCATTTCATGGGAGAGAGAGGTGTTGTAACCAGGTCAAATTCTGTTTTAGTCCATCATTCCTATTCAGACAATTTAGATTCCACTTGATATGAAGTGCTTCTGACATTAGATGTTCTTTGTGACTTCTGAAATTTTTCTGGATTATTTCAATATTGTCAAAATCAATTTTAAGGCCTGATTCTATAGCGTGTAGTAAAAACAATATCCTTTTTGTTTTTCATTCATTGGGAAATACAAAAACCTTTATTGTAATCCATATTTCCTTTACAAGTGTTGGTTTTTCAGGGCTTTGTAAGATCTGAACTTAGATCACGAAATGACACCAATTAAGGAAGAATTGAAAATCAGGCAGCGTTGGACAGTTGGTTGTTACATCCTAATTTGACTGAAGGCACCTAAGACCTTACCAGGTGTCAGTGTATGATCTAACTTGAAATTGATATTCTTCCACAATTCCTCTCTTTGGAGCTCCCGGTAGCGGTGAAATGTTTTTAAGATATAGGGTTTTAAGCCTCACTCTCAACACCCACCTCTTTCCCGAGCTTACTATTACCTAGTAAACTAACCAAGGTTTACGAGTGTTTCAAATTTCTGCAAAGCAACGCTTGAAAATATATCTAATTCTCTCTAGTGAGGCTAGAGTTCATACACCATCGGATTAACACCTAGTATCTGAGTGGTCAGCCAGCTCGCTTCGTAACCTGAATTCTCCGTGGCGACATGGGCGCATACAGCTGGATAGTCTAAAAGAAGGTGGGCGAAACAGCCGTTCATCATTCAGTGATATTAATTAGTAACCTAGCATGAGATCAACTTCAATCTATGTTACTTCTCCGATTTCACCACCACATGAAAATATCTCTTCAATTAGTAAGATCCTTGAAAGTTAATTATAATTTATTCAGGTATGTGAACTTTCAATAGTACTTAGAAATCGAGATTAGCTAAGTGTAACATTTCTGGTTAGAAAAAACAACACCAACAACGCTAAGGTACAAATATTCAAACTATTGTTTAGCTATTATTTCACTCATTATAATGGTAACTAATGCCATTGTTATAACAATGGTATTAGTTACCGTGTTTATGAGGTCATATAGAGATTATGACCAGATAGTTAGTATATTCTTAGCATAACTTATTACTTATTTAATAGTGGTTTTACAAAAAAACGCTAACATATCGCTAGTAGTGCACATCTAACAGCTCACTTCTTTTTGAATTCCAAGCTAATAATTTTGTTTAAAAACAGTAATATTACTAAGATTATAATAATAAAGGTGAATTAATTTAATCACCTAACTCATAGAAAGTATCACAATCATTCTTGTTAACCGAACGAGATGCAAAACACAACGATCACGTTCATGCTACTTATCGTTGTGGTTAATACTCATCAAGTCCCTTCTAGTTTGATCTGATTCAACTAATCAATAAGCATGATCTAGTACAATTCATGAACTTGTGAGATGATACATAACTTTAATTCTACTCATTTTGTACTACAAAGTATCTGCTTATACGTATCTCTCATAATCACACTAACAATTGTAACTGCACAACTTGTCTTCCTTCCTTTTTCATTTGTCGTAGGGGTAGTGGAATTTTTCAGGTGCCTGAGTAGAGAGATGTTGAATCATCTCCTATTCTATACATTCTCAGCTGATTCGACAAATTAAACTTCAGTTATATCGGTCCCATCTCTCATTCCTCATCGTATTACGTATGATTTAAAGACTGCCATACTGTTTCATTTCGATTGTTTGACTGTGTGTAATTTCACGTACTGCTATCACTGCATGTTTATTGCTAGATGTCTTGTTTTATTTTTTTATTCCTTTACGTTCTCAGTGAAACGTAGGGCTTGAAGCTACAGGCTTGAAGTCTGAGTAGCAGTGGTGTTCAATTTTACGAGATGGGGTTGGTGCTAGCCTCATGCCCGACCTTCCCTCCTTGACAGTCTTATTAATGGCTTAGCGAGCGAGTTAAAGGAGTGCGTCGTGGGCCGGGGATCGAACCCCAAACCACATGAGGCGTGGTTGGCGAGCATTCTACCGCTGTGCCATTCATGCACTATTCTGTTATCCCATAGTTATTAAAACTTTCAAAATATTATACACACTTCTTTATTAAGAGGGAAAAACACATTTAATTTCTCCAGTTTTTGAAGAAATATTTCTTCAGAATGACTTCTTTTAAGGCTAGCTGTACAGTCTTACTCATATTACGAAAAACACCATGAATTAGCATTAAAAATTGTTCAGTTATTATATATATGTATATATATATATGATAATAGCATTAAGTTACAATTTAATGGTGACTTATCAAGTGAGATTCTATTCCAAAGACTTTCAAGGAGTATACGAAGAACATTTTATGCAGCACACCTATGTTTGTCATTCTCTTGCCGACGAATGATTGGGACGCAAACGAAGGATAAGCTTGATAGTTTTGCCGCATCTATGTGCATTTATCAATTCAGCTGCACCTGCGGTGACAGTTATATTGGGTGTACTACTAGACAGCTTAGCCAACGTGTTAGTGAACATCTCCCATCTTGGTTTGGCAAAGGACAGACAAAAACAATCCGTAGCTCAATTTTGTCACACTTAATTGATAGTGGTCATGTAATCGAGAAAACGAAAGCCTTCAAAGTAATTCATCGTATCCCACCGAATCTTTCCAATAGACTTCGTATTCGTTTACTGCACACAGCTGAGACGATAGGCATTCGAACTATTAAACCTAAACTATGTATTCAAAAGAAGTTCGTACAGCCATTATCCCTCCCTTGCTGGCCTATTAAGACATAACCAACTAATGACTTCTATACCACCCTTTGTTTATATTTTCAACCCCTTTCTTATCATCCCTTAATCTTATCTTCATTATAAACGTGTTTCATTTCCTTCCCTTACAATCTAGCATTACTTAATCGGTTCACTTGTTTTTACTAGCCTTTATCGACTACTTCCACCTGAACATTTGTCTGTTTAATCATGCTGTTTTTCATTATTCGTGTTACCACAGATTGCCTCACTTTTTCATCCTTATTATTGATAAGACCATTATTATTATCATTACTATTATTATTACCATTACTGCCATTATGACTAATTGCACATTTTATATTCACCATCTTATTATCCTATAGACAAAAAACCATGATTGGTTTATATTTGAATTTTATTTGTAAACTTATGTATATTAGAGTTAAGCCTGATGAGATCTAATTGAAAACAATATTGTTCGCTTAAATGTGTTGTTCTAAAGATAATTAACACAATGTTTGGAACGGGTGGAGTTTTTGATTGCATTGTAGCTATGCAAATGCTTTTAAAAAACCAATACTTTTGTTTAAGCAGTGGCTAACTTTGACCACCATATTTCAATCTCTGTTCAACTTGAAATTGGCTCAATGGTCCTGGGTTCGAATCCCGGTGGGTACGTACTGGTGAAGAGTCCCAAACTAGGACGAAACAGCTGTCCAGTACTCCCTGCAGGTTTTCCAGTGGTTCTCTAACTGATGTCAGCTCATGATGAAATCCTCCATGCAATCAAACAAAATTCCTACAAAACCAATACTTGAAATTGTTTTTGTAGAGTAGCTCACTTGAATTGTAGGATAGGATAAAGGAAAAATCTGCATGAGTTCAGATGATTTGAATCAAGAAAATGTTCACAGATAGAAGACTTTATCATCCTATATGCTAACCTTTTTATAAACCAAACTGGATGGCCTTCAGCAAAGCATTTCCGAATAACACACCTATAACGTCAAATATAATCAACTCATCAAGATCATGTCAAAGAGTAGATATAAATATGAATGCAGTTATCTTAAAATCTTTTGAAACTTATTGTATTTCATTCAATAAAACAACTCTACCCTTATGATGGAGAAGATTTGTAGTTCAGGTGGATGATTTTGATGTAGTTGTGTTCTCTGAGTTGGATGGTTTATTTGCGAGGCTTTTATTGCCCTACTAGGCAACCTTAAGTTGATTAAACCTTCTTGTTTGCATTTTTAATTTTTTTTAAATACCACCTCTTATAGCATTTGTCTATCATAAAGAGAAGTGTACTTACTTAGAACTCCGTCTTTTTCTGAAAAGATATTATTAGTATGATTACGTGAAATTTATTGATCGATTAAGACAACAGGCTAGTACAATGTATAAATAACTAACTGTACACAACCTAAGAAAATCGCTAATACATGAGCTACCATAGAATTACAAAGTATTAAGTTAATAATTTTCAGGTATCCAGTTCGGTATAAAAGAAATTTTCAAGAGCTGACTCGTAAGCATTAGATTTGTTTTTTTCGCGTTTTACCACGGATTGATATCAGTTAGAGAACCATTGAAAACCAGCACTGGAGTACTGGAGAGTTGTTTCATCCCATTAGTTTCAGAATTATCGGCAGTACGCACCCACCGCCAGTGTTCGAACCCAGGACCTTCCAGTTACAAGGCTAGCTAGCTCGTATACCATTCAGTCACTGGGATCCTTACAAACCAACCCTAGCAAATTAATCTGATGCTCTCTAGTGACTTGCTACAGGACGCAGTTTCCTGGAGTTTTAGTGAAAACTCGTGACCAGTGAGGTCCATCCAGTCGGGAGTGAAGATGGATTTCCCATCGATGATATTGGTTGGTGGTCGCACTAAATGAATCACGAATTGGTAGAAGTTAGAATTGATGGACTAGCCATTGAATCGGGCCTCATTGTGGCTGGATTGTATAAAAGAAATATTGATTTTCTGGGGGATTGATTTACATTTATTTGAATAGGCTTTATATTCAGGTGACTTGTTATTATAGTGAGTAAATTTAATTAATCAGAAAGTAGTAAGAATTAGTAGAGCTGGGTAGAGCACCTAGATGACCAATAAGTCAATTTATTATCGATTTATGTATGAATAATTTAGTGTTTGCTACTTGACCTAAATTTCTATTTGTAAATGTGTCTGTGTGTTGTTGTTGTTATTGATCGAAATTTGTGTAGAAAAATTTTCCAACGCTGCCGGTAAACGAAATCAAATTGACGATTTGTAATTTATCAACAGTTCCAGTAGGTGAAACTTCCTTGTGGTTTCCTTTGGGTGGGAACCAAAATTATTTATATCACAATAGATGTGATCTGCTTGATACTACACAAATGGCAATTGAGAAAGCAAGAATAAATGAAGGATGTTATCTGTATACTACTGATTTATTGACGTGAGTAGTTTGGTTCCCTTGTCACACCAACCAGCAGTGTTTGCTAGTCAGCCAGATAGAAATGATCTAAACACCAGAGAGTGCGTCGATGGCATAACGATAGAATGCCTGCCAACTAATCAGGTGATTTGGGTTTCAATCCCCCGGCCGGCGCACTTGCTAAGCCAGTAATAAGACAGGCAAAGAGGGATAGCTGGGCATGAGGCTGGAAGCTCCATTCCGTAAAAATCAACACCACTGCTACCGAAACTTCCAGCCTCTATCTTGAAACCCTGGTTTCCACTGGGAACGCAAAGGAATAAAAATAAATAATACTAAACACCAGAGAATCGTCTCCCTAGCTTGGTACTATATCGAACAGATCGCATCGATTATGAGCTGAATAGTTTCGGTTTCCGTAGGAAACTATGGTACAGTTTCACTCGGAACTGTATAAACTGCTATTCGTGGATTAATTTGCTAATTATGAATTCGACTTAAAGTATAACCAGTTCGCCGAAGCAGCTTGTCAGAATTCGAATGGTTTGAACGGATTCGGTAGCCTGAAATGAGTTAGACAAAGTACACCGCTGATGAGTTCAGTCCGAAACGAGCAAACCGGCCCACCAATGTCTAGATCATCACCTCGATAATCTGGCTAGCAAGCACCACTGTTAATATGAGTGGTACCAAAATACTCATGCATCAATAAACTATGTGAGAGGCTACGAATGTGTGCTGGAGTTAATATTTTCCTCTTATTTAAAGGAAAATGTCTTCCAGTATTATTTGTGATACTGTCAACATTCAGCAAAAAGAATATTTCTGAAATGTGATATCTATTAAAGCAAGAAAGGTAAGAGATATAATGTGACGAAAAACTTCAGCAACCTTCAAATATCTTCAGTTCATTTCTTGAAATTCGAACTTTGTAAAAATAGCTTCATGCAACAAGAAGGAAACAATAAGAAGACGTAATTTGTCTGAATCGTCTTCTAATGTATTTGCCCAACACATTTCGAACAGTTTGACCACGCACACGTGGACTTGTTATCGAAATAAAAATGAAATTAGTAAAGGGTTAAGAGGTGAGAAAATAAATTTAGGTTAAGTTAAAAGGACACATTGAAAGTCAAAATAACAATGAAGATCAATAACCAAGGATTACTGGACGGCAGTTTCATCCTAGTTTGGGAATAATCGGCAAAACGCACCCACTTGGGTTCGAACCCAGTTTCCTGGAGTTCTGGTTAGAAGTCATGACCAGTGAGGTGCATCCAGTCAAGTGTGAGGATGGATGTCCCACCGATGACATTGGTTCATGGTTGCGCTAAATGCATCACGAATTGGTAGAAGTTAAAATTCATGGGCTGGCCATTGAGTCGGGTCCCAGTAGCTGAATGGTATACGAGCTAGCTAGTCTTGTAACTGGAAGGTCCTGGGTTCGAACCATGGTCGGTGGGTGCGTACTGTCGATGATTCTCAAACTAGAGGGATGAAACAGCTGTCGAATACTGCCTGGTTTTCAATGGTTCTCTAACAGATATCAATTCGTGGTCAAAATCGTATGAACAAATCTAGTCCTTACAAACCAAAATCTTGAAGAATCAATTGACAAAAAGATATGCATGAAAAAGTGGCGATAGATTGGATATACTTTGAGAAGGTTACTGAGTGACATGATGAGCACTGCCCTCGACTGGAACTCATATGAGAAGCAACCAGTTGGGAGTGACATAGTGACTATGAAAGCTTATGAGCAATCGTAAAGTCAACTAAAAGGGACTACAGAGAACTGGATGAAATAGCAATGTGCTGTTGAACCCAAGGAAGTAAATAATAATATTACAAATCTTTTAATGGATACCAAAAATTTGATATCGATTTTTCGAGAGTAGAATCACTAATATGTTTTTGTTACATTTCACTTGCTGAATAACACATTTTATAACCTGTTCAAGTATTTCTTTTCTCTAATTTTGAATAGGTCGAATTTCTAGCATGACAGAAACACAGGATAATGCTCCAAAACCGTTATTTGAATATGTTAATGAAGATGTACTCAAGAAGAGGCCTACATTTGCAAGTATGTTTCACTATCCCATTTATAAGTTATGAATACACTATCAATAATGATTTTTATATTTATTCATATGCGTCACACTTCACCTTGTGAATAACTTGTTAATTAAGAATGCTAGGCAGTTTTAGTTGAGTATTATTTCATCTTGTGTGTGTCGGTATCTCAAGGGTAGATTGCTCACCAACCACGCCTCACATTGTCCGGGGTGCTATCTCTGGCCGACACACTTCTAAACCACGCCAAGCTGGTAGGAAGCCTTGAGAAGAGGGAAGGTTGAACCTGAGGCTAGCAATGAAACACCGTAAAAATAAAACCGCTGCTAGAGAAACTTCAAAGACTAGGCTTCGAGCCCCATATTTCAGTCGGAATGCAAGAGAATAAAAGGGAAATTATTCCATCATACAATATTTTTATTTGGATGGTTGGAGGCAATTGGCCACAGGAAGCCTTGGACCTAGGTTTCGTGCTAGTTGGCACTCACCAGTCAGCAAGGTGTATCTGCAACCTTGAAGGAATTCATGTCCCACCTGAGATTCGAACCCATGTCACCCAGTTCAGTCCTGCAGTCACAGACGTTAGCACTGAGGTATTTTTGCTCGCGATTGACCTCCAGTAGGACTGTATTGGATACTTTGATTGGACACTGGTGCAGCCTGAATTCTGTCAGTCAGGTTTGCAATGTGGCCACTATTCTATGTAGCTCAGCATCACGGCGCATACTGAATTGATGATATTGGAGGCAATCAACAGGAAGCCTTGGACCTAGGTTTTGGGGCTAGTTGGCACTAGTCAGTACCAAAGACTGAACTAGACACATCCCACTAGTTACTAATGTCGAATCAAACTAGTTTTATTTGTTAAGAACACACAGTGATACAGAATTATGTTCTATAGTTTGGTTTGTAAGGATTAGTTATGTTTTTACGAGTTAATCACGGATTGATATCAGTTAGAGAACCACTGAAAATCAGGGAGTAATGGACAGCTGCTGTTTCATCCTAGTTTGGGAATCATCGGCAGTACGCACCCACTGGGATTCGAACCCAGGACCTTCCGGTTACAAGGCGAGCTCGTATACCATTCAGCCACTGGGACCCGATTCAATGGCCGATGATTCTCAAACTAGGATGAAACAGCAGCTGTCCAGTACTCCCTGATTTTCAATGGTTCTCTAACTGATATCAATCCGTGATTAAATCGTAGAAACAGAATTATGTGCTGATGACGTTTCGAGCACACAAGTTATAGTTCATAATCGTATCACATGAGTGTGTTTTTGTATCAAATCAAATTATTATCTTATGAAACAATAATTGTACTGAAAATTCCTATCACATACATACACACAAAATAAGAAAATCAAGTGTAGTTTAATAAAAGCATAAAGTTATTTATTTCCTAATAAAATTGTCCCCATAAGCGCTACTAGTGTTTGCCTGAAATATAGCTAAGTAGTAACATTCTTTTTTTATATCGTTCTTCCATTATCCCTCGGAATTTTACCACTGAGAACCAGAGAGTACTGGACAGTTGTTTCGCCCCGGTTTCGGACTCATCAACAGTCAGCACCTATCACCAGGGTTCAGACAGACATCTAATCTTCCGGTTAAAAGACGAGCTCGTTCAGACATTGGGACTCAGAAAAGAAGTAAACACTTTCACCAATTAGTTTCAAAATAAATGAGAGCAAAATTAATTATGATAATAGTGAAGCTTCATGGCATAAATACTATAAGTAAAGATAAATTTGACTCTTTAAAACCATCAGAATGTACATTCCTGCATATGTATGGTTTGCCAAAAATGCATAAACCCAATAATTCTCTACGTCCTATATTGTCAATGTGCAAATCCGCAACACATAAACTTGCTAAATGGTCAGTAGAATTATTGTATCCAGTTAAAACACAATTCTGTAAGTATGTGTTAAAAGATACATTTGAATTGGTTAATTTCCTTGACGATATTAATATTTTGAATAAGAATATGTACTCTTTTGATGTAAACTCGTTATTCACTAATGTACTTTTACTTTAAAGAGATGACACTTTGTGTGATTACATTTCCACAAACAAATTTTTCATCCCGTTCCCTATATCTTATTTAAGGGATTTATTACTTCTATGTACTAACAATGTTAAGTTTACATTTGAAGGTGATTGCTCCTGTCAGGTTGATAGTGTTGCTATGGGAAGTCCGTTAGGGCCCCTTTTAGCAGATATTTATAGATGATATTGTAATCATCAGTGAAAAGTCTTCTTCTGCTACCTTAATTTTAAATCAAATGCATGAAGTTCAGAATAACATATCACTTACATCTGTAGAAGAGGAAGATAATTGTTTATCTTTCCTAGACATATTGCTTAGAAGACGGACTGGGGGATCAATAAAACGACCTATTTATAGAAAACCTACCCCTGAACACGACAGTATATTAATTACCACAGTTACTGCCCTGTTTGGCACAAAACAGCCTTAGTGAGCAGGGTGCCTCGTCAGTAGAATCGAACGAATACGCACGGAAGACACACTTGATGAAGAAGAAATTTGACACAAACTCTATTATTATTATTATTGTTCCCTTGGGTTCCTAGTGGAACATAGGGCTTCAACTACACGTCTCCACTTGCTTCTGTCTTCTGCTGTTCTTTTCACTTGCGTCCATGTTATTCCATACTGTTTCATCTCCTCCTCACACGATCTCCTCCATGTCACCCTTGGACGTCCCACTCGCCGCTTCCCTTTCGGGTTCCACTCGAGGGCTTGACGCGCGATGTCACTCAACGGCCTCCTTAGCGAGTGTCCAATCCATCTCCACTTCCTCCTGCATATTTGTTGGGCGATTGGTTCCTGTTTCGTTTGTTCCCATAGCTTCTTGTTTGTGATTCTTTCTGGCCATTTAATCTTCAGTATGGAGCGAAGACAGTTGTTGATAAAGGTCTGCAACCTGTTGAAAATATTCTTGGTGACCCGCCAAGTTTCTGATCCGTAAAGCAAAATTAACTTGACGTTTGTATTGAAAATCCGAATTTTGTTGTTGATGGTGAGTGACGAAGATTTCCAGATTGGTTTCAGGTTGATGAATGTGTTTCTCGCCTTCCCGATTCTCGATTTGACATCCTCGTCCGTTCCTCCTGTAGCAGAGACAATGCTCCCTAGATAAGTGAATGAAGTAACCTCTTTCAAATCCCTCCCGTTGATGGTGATTGGCACTGGATGTTGCTGCTGTTGTTGGTTGGTTATTTTCATAACCTCCGTCTTGTCTATGTTCACCTGGAGTCCTGTCTTTGCTTCTTCTTCGACCAGTTTGTCGGTTTTCGCTTGTAAGTCTTCGATTTTGTGTGACATCAAACATAAATCATCCGCAAAATCCAGGTCTTCTAGGTTCTTCACGTCTGTCCAGGATATCCCTGTCTCCTCGTTTCCCACTGTCTGACGACGCATAATCCAGTCCACCACAATTAGGAATATCATTGGTGATAATAAGCACCCTTGTCTGACTCCTGTGTTTACTCCAAACGCTTCGCTGAGTTTTCCGTTGTGGATCATTTGACATGTGCCGTTGTCGTACAGTTGTTGAATAAGGTTGATGAATATTTGCGGTATGCCGTAGTACTCGAGTAGTTTCCAAATTACTTCGCGGTCAACGCTGTCGAAGGCCTTCTCAAAGTCTATGAAGTTGAGGTAGAGGTTTGATTGCCATTCCATGCTTTGTTCGACGATAATGCGTAGAGTTGCAATTTGGTCAGAACATGATTTGCCTTTCCTGAATCCAGCTTGTTCTGGTCGGAGTTCTGTATCCAGCGCGTCCTTGATTCTCTCCAGGATGATGCGACTCAGGATTTTACTTGGCGTCGACAGGAGCATGATTCCTCGCCAGTTCTTGCAGAGTCCCAGGTCGCCCTTCTTTGGTAGTTTCACCAGGTAACCTTTCCTCCAGTCAGTAGGCACCTTTCCCTCTTTCCAGATCTTTTGCAATAATGGAGTCAGCATATCTGCCGTCGTTTCTGGGTCCACTTTCAGTGCTTCCGGGGGTATTCCATCTGGTCCAGCTGCTTTTCCAGCTTTCAGAAGCTTGATTGCATTCATGACTTCAGTTTTCGTTGGAGGATTGGTGTCAACTTGCAGTTGTGTACGTGCTGTTGTTGGTATTACTGGACGGGTTGTAGGTGGTGGTCGGTTCAAGAGTCCTTTGAAGTGGTCCGCCCATTGTTTAATCTGTCTTTCTTCTTTGGTAATTGGGTTCCCTTGGCTGTCTTTGATAGGTTTCACTTGTGTTGATCTCTTCCCGGATAGAGACTTGGTTATCTGATATAGTGTCCTCAGGTCCCTTTTGCCTGCTGCCTTCTCAGCTTCAGTAGCCAGGTTGTCGTAGAATTGTCTTTTGTCCTTCCTGGCACTCTTCTTCACTTCTTTGTCCACTGCTGTGTAAGTTGAGCTCAGTGTCTCTTTCTCTTGTCCATCTTTGCATTGAATCATTTTCTCTTTCACTTTTCTCCTCTCCTCTATTAGTTTCCAAGTGTCTGTTGAGAGCCATTCCTTGTCTTGTTTCTTCTTTCTTCCTAAAACCGTTGAGCACGTTTCGTTGAAAATTACCTTCAGAGAGTTCCAATGGTCTTCCACGGATGATTCCTCAGTGGTGCCACGTAGTGTTTCCTGCTTTGCTCTGACAGTTGCAGTGAAAATGTCCTGTGTGATTGTGTCCTTCAGTTTGTGAGTGTTGAACTTGCATTGTGGCCTATCCCCAGGTATCCTCGAGGCTTTCAGCTTCACCTTGAAAGTCCCTTGTACCAGATAGTGGTCTGAACCCACATCTGCTCCTCTCCTCGATCTTGTGTCCAGTAGGCTCCGTCTCCACTTCCTTGAGATTGAAATGAAGTCTATCTGGTTTTTGGTGTGTCCATCTGGTGAAATCCATGTCGCCTTGTGTATATCCTTGTGTTTGAACACACTGCCACCAATCACCAAATCATTGAAGGCGCAGAAGTCTGAGAAGAGTTCAC